GCAGGAATTAGTTCCTAATATCCACCTCTAATAATGAAGTCTGCACCATCTTCTTTTCATGCCTACCCATGTTTAAGAGGTTTTTAACCTATTGGTTACACTGCAGGAACCTCAACATACCATCTCTCTCTATTAGAGGTATTTCTAGCTAAGCCACCCCTTCAATGACTAAGCAGCATGTGAACAATTAATTATACATAAGCATAGCTTGCAGCTATGGGACATGTAGGAATCAGTAACACCGCCCAAAAAAAGCTATAGCTTGTAATTGGGCTGCCTGAATGTGCAGTATGTACAGGACATAAAATACAATGACAGAAGAGCGCAACAAGAATTACTGAAAGCACTTTTCAGTGACCAACTAGGACCGGATTCCTTCAATTCCTATCACAAAAGTATTTATTACTAAAAATGTTACCACATGGTGAATTTTACAATTCAGTGGAAACCCCACTACAAAACCTGCAGCAGTGGAAGTAATTTTGCTGAAACACTACTGTGTCATCAACTATACCACTGCTTTCAAAGAAACATTTTTCTAACAACAAAATTCATTTAGGCACGACCACTGGATTATACCTAGCAGTGCTGCAATCACACCAAGTCTTACCAAACAAAGAAGTAGGGGCACAAAGCTAATTGCTCCTACAGATCAAGCGTTCAAGGCATGTAATTGGCTTTGGCCAAGCTGTACACTAAATTACATTTTACTCGGGATATTTTTGTGATATAAATCCTATTCTACAGGTATGGACTGTGCTCTTTACACCATCCACTGCCTCTTTTAGGCTGCAGGAACTCCCACCTACAAAGCCAAGTGAAATGTTGCAGGGTGTCCATGTACAGTCTACCCATATATGTGCCTATGGGCAGTCTCCAGCCAGTGGCAGGGGGGTGGACAAGCGTCCTAGGGGCAGTCTCCAGCCAGTGGCAGGGCTGGCTCCCAGCTATGCAAGTTTGCCAGCGCATCTCACTTCCTGCTAGTTTCTTTTTCTCAGTAAAAAGGACAATTATTCAGGGATAAAAGACTGGATCAGCATGTGTGATTGATTTAGGCCTTGTACCTCTTGGATGTGAAAAGCAAACCAGTGGCCCAATGAGTGCTAACTCTGAACTTCATGCAAACTGAACTGAAACTGTCAATACAGGGTATATAGGCTCTGTCCAACCTCTGAGGCAGCAATGGCTTCCACAACAGGCAATTCTGAACTGAATTTATATCATTAGTGTGCAGCAGAATGATTTTGGACGGGCACTTCCAATCCTTAAAGCCATTCAGCTTCTAGAGAAGTCCATTTAAAATAACATTCCACCAACAAGTACAAAAAAACCCCTATTTTTCCACCACAAATTCCATAGATTATGGAATTTTTGAACTGTGGTATTTTTGAGACTACAAAATCTTCACAACTCATCTTGTTAAATAATGCCTTTCCACTTTTCCTAAACTGAGCTTTGCTAGGAGGTACCTAACTTTGGCAGCAGTTCTGGGACTTGTGACACTTCTCTCTCACGCTATCCAGCCTTCAACAGTCACACTTAATTTATGGTTCAGAACACTGCAGCCTACTGCCATAGAAATTTAAAACAAATCAATAGCAAGAGACAGGCCAATGGGACAACAGGCTGGAAGGTAGAGAGAGAGTGAACACAGACAAAACGTCAAGTCACTCAGAAGGTTTTTAACCCTTCCAGAATAGCATGGGAAATTACATCATACAATCTGGAGCTGCTGAGCGGGCAGGTTGTGTGTGTGAATTTCATAGCACTCACATAGGAATCAACAGTATGCCCAAATTCTCATTTAAGTAATACTGAATCCAAGTGTTTCTGAAAGTAACTATTTCAGTAATTGATAGTACTATATCTTTACAACAAAAAACTCAGTATGACTGTGTACACTACAATCTCCAATATAAAGATGCACAGAGTAAGTCACACAGAACAATTCAGAATTTTGTCCAAAGCTACGGTGACCCAAAAGCAGAACGTTAAACTCCGGAGTTTCCTTTTGCCAACGTTTAGCAACTAAATCATGCTCCTCTCAGCCAACCCACTCATAACTCTTGTTTCATGAAGTTGTCCGCATTCCACTAGAATCTGCTGCTGATCACAAACGAAATGCTCGTAGATATTTTAGATAAAAATAGAGGATAGAGAGAATTTTTGTGTCTCAACTTCTGCAAAGGATTTCTTTGTAAATGATAATAAAAGAAAACTGTAAACATATACATACCTTTGGGTTTGGCTGCATTGTTATCCTGGAGTACGTGTAAGGAAGTTCCCCATACCAGGAGGTAAGCCTTGGTTCCTCAAAAGATACTTCTAAAAAAAGAAAAACAGGAAGATTTTCTCAGTTGCCTTATCAAAGGGCTTGAAAATGGAAAGGTGATGCAATTCTGCCAAGAAACTTGATCAAAAGGGGACTGTTCAATCACCTAAAGTTAAAAAGCAGCCTCTTAAAATCCTCAGCCTTACATAATGAACTCAAATGAAGGAATGAGATTATTCAAAAGCAGGCCTGTGTCCACAAGACGAATTACCTTGCCAAAATCTTGGAACGACATCAATTTTGTCATCCCTATGCCAGACAGGGCAGGGATTGGACAAGTTAAAGACAGCAAAATGAAACTGAAATTTTATTTATAATTCTGGTTTGTTTTATATTCTCCTGGTTCCAGTGCCCAATACACTGGCATAAGTTACAAGATGTATCCACTGGAAAGGATGAAGTGGAAAGGACTGCAGCATCAATGGGACATTACAGAAGCAGAATGTAGCAAGGCTGGACAAGTAATATTTTGTCAAATATGTGTGTGCTCTGTGGTGTAATACAAACATCAAGTTAAAAGTACTTTCAACTTCTGAAAAGACTATCTTAGTAGCTATTTCTCATGCTTGACAGGTAACATTCTTCATTATACTGTACCTTTATTGCAAGCCAGCCCTGTCCAGTAACTACTCCGATATATTATCTTATATCCGTTCCTGACTGAAGAGAAATTTAGCTAGAACAGGTGCCCCTTAGTGAACAAATCCAGAATAGCAGTCTCCTCACTTACTGCATACTGGAACTAATAAGCAAAGACAAGGGAAAAGAACCGTGTTCTGCTGGGATTTTAAATGAGAGAGGCAAAAAATATTCCTGGTGACAGAAACCTCAAAGAACACAGTTTTTGCAGCATCACTGGGAGACAGTATGAAGGGATGAAGCACAGACTTAATCTAAAAAAAGAGTTGGAAAAAGAACCGGAGATGACAGAGGATGCAGTAAAATTCAAAGATTTTTAAGATGGGGAATTTTAATTTAGAAAGATCTCATTAAATGGCAACAGGAACGTGGTGATAGAGATTGAAGAATAAGCAGCCGTACTCTTCAGATATGCATGGAAAACCTGTAAGGAAATATGTGAAGGAATGGTGGTGATATATAAAATCAAAACCAATGATAAACAATGCACAGATTTTGATATGGAAATGACCTGGGAATGACAAGAAAAGTTGGTCTACACACACCCTACCCTGTCTGATGTGAGTTCTCTGACCCCAGGGTATGTCTTGGAGGAGTTGTTCAAACATCCAGTCTGCTTGTTCTGAGTCAATAAAGCCAGGAATCAAATGAATCCTAAGGAAGAAAAAGATAAAGAAAAAATGGAAGGAATATACACTTCTATATATGCTTTGATTTCCAGGATTCCCAAAGGAGATAAGAATGGCTGTAATGCATCAGAACGAAAGTCAAAGCCCAGTATCCTATTTCTGACCACAGTCAAAAGCAGGTGTGAAGGAAAGAACAGAAGGCAGCAGGAGCTCCTGATGAGTCTTCCCCGCACCAAACACATCTAATTGCTTTTTAAAACCTATAAAAACATATGACACCAACAATATTCTGAGTCCCACAATCAGCCATGTACTGTGTGAAAAATGGCATCCTTCTGCTTGTTACTAACTTCCCGTTTGATAACTTAGATAGCCCCAATTATGGTACTACAATCAGTGTAAGTAAATAATTGCCCTTTACTCCCCATCTCCATGCCACTCAGAATTTGATAGCCCTTAATCACTACTGTCATCCTATCCTCTCTTTTCCAAGCACAAGAACCCTAGAGTATTTAACCTCTCCTATTTTTACATTTTCATATGTACATTTTATATTTTGACTGTACTAACAGCAGCATGCAAAAATTCCAGCCACTGTGGTGGCCTGCATAGTAGGGATGCTGTTCACAAACAGTTACTCTCACAAGTATCCAATGCTCCAAAGACATCACAACAAGAATATATACAGTAAAGGTACTAAAAGAGATGCAAAATCCAATTATTAACTTTCCAGAAATGTATATATTCGAGTAACATATTATGAAAACAAACTCCAGAAAATGACAGAATAATACAGCTGGCTGTGTATCTTTTCTCTTTCCAGCTGGTCAAAGCTTTTACTTTTCAAATTGGTATAAAACTTTATTTGCAGTTTTATAAGAAACCAAGATGAAAGCTTTGAAATAAATGCGCAAAAAGTTACTACGTCCTTGGCATTTTTTTCACTATTAATAAAATCTATCAAATTCAGAAGAAAAGGATTACTACTGATATTGCAGCTAAGTCAGCAAGGTAAAATAAAATGCATTTTAGTTAGTAGGAATCACAGAACAAGTAGGTTTTGTTTTGAAGTGTCCTGAAGCTGAAGTAATTAAGGCATAGGATGTAAGCAAAAGGGACAGCCCTAAAGTTACCAAATCTGCCTAAAGGTAAATACTTTCATTAGATTAATTTAAACCAAGTCCAGTTTACAGCTAAAAGTTTTTGGTAGTTCTTAACTATACAGCAGAGACATCACACACTGGCTAACACAGGAACACCAATCCAACTTTCAAGCAGCAACTTAACTCTGGATCATGAAACAAATGGACATAGCCCCTTCTCCTTATTCTGGACAAGAACACTAGATACAGGAAGCACTAGATGTTAAGAAGTTCATTTTTCTTCCCTTCAGTGCTGCCTAGACTGCGTAAGTCTCTGCTACCTGATACTCAAAGTATTGCCAGAAGTACTCTAAACAGAAGATCCACAGGAAGGGCAATGTGCACCTGCTAGAGCCAAAACACTCTGCAGAGACCAGACTTCAGAAAGCTGAGTATCACCATGTTGTTCCGCAACAGCAAATTACAAGTTTCTGAAAATGTGCAATTCACTTACCTAGAAATGCCAGTTGGTACTTTGCTGAGCTCATACACACCAGGCTTGCTGAGGATGTAAGAAAGGAAAGAGCCATCAGATGGACAAGCAACAAGAAATTATCTCACACTGAGCAGCATGGACTAGAATTGCTGTAAACCTGGACTATGGAGAGCGTTCTTTAAAAAGGAAAAGAAAAAAAAGCTTTGCACTACTAATGTTCTGGAGACAGAGGTCAGAGTAAGGCAGCAAGGGGTGCTGCAGAAGCAAGTGAGTTTCTGTGTACTTCCTGCCTCTCACTCTCATTTCACCAAAGGCTCAATACACAGTTTTAAGGCTCTAGAGATACGTAAATGAGGGATGTCACAGGGAATCTAAAGGAGACAACCATACAAAACTGCACTCTGACCATTATGTTTGCATTTATAGGTATACAAAGAACATGAGTGTAACTGAAGATGCAAAATCCAGTTTTCAGTCAGATGACCAATACCACCATTCTGCTAACAGCAAAGTGTTCATTAACCTGCGTGACACAGCGAAACTGAGTTACAGGTACATGTAACAGTATTTTAACTGTTGTAGCTGGTACAGAGGGTAAACAGTTCTTCCCTGTTACAAGTTGCACTATCATAAAGCATTATCTACTCTTGTACGAACTGCTTGCTTCACCTACCTTCATCTTCTCCCAAGCCAGCTCCAAACTATACTGCTCTTTTTGCCTAGAACTCTCCAGGAGTTAATCACTCTCCAGCATTGCTTCTCCCTCAAAACAGTTCACCAACTCATGAGATGATCACATACCATGTTTTGCACTGTGCTGTATTTAAGAAAGTTAAATAAACAGAAACTTCTGCTCTCTTCCATATTGCACATGCAGAGCATAAACCGTACTATATTACCTACAGCACATCGTTGTGATGAGAATAGCATCTTAGTTTTGTTTCCTCTATTTTTTTTTATTTGATTTGTAAACAAGTGTAACAAATGAAAGGTCAGTGAACCTTTAGAATACTTTTAACACAGTGAATTTATTTAAATACTATGTTATTACTACTAATCATAAACAATATGCAAAGAACGTATGGCTGTATCATTCATACCGAAATGGAAAGTTAAAACATAAGCAAATCTTTTACAATCTGTAAGTGTTTCTGGGAAATTCTATAACTATTTCCAGCTATATTTTTCATGACTTGACAGAAACACCTCTCATAAAGTAGTTCTACTTAATGAACTGTTCACTACCACGCTAGCAGTGGGAGGGCAGCTGAGCATCTCACCCGAATTATGCCTGCTCTGCGCGAATACCCACCTAGCATCAAATTTGAAGTTGCTAAAGAAAACTAACCCCAGATCCCTCAAAGTAAAAACAAAATACAGCGAGTCAAAAGCTGAATCTGTAACTTCTTTCTTAGGAACCATTTAGTAAGAAAGTTCTGCCAAGATGACCAAACTGAAGCAAATTTAATTTTCAGAATCTGTAACTTCACCATACACCACCGCACCTTGTCACATTTCACACCAAGGTTATTCTGAAAAGATCCCCATTTCAACACAAAGGCTAAGTGATCTACAGTGCGTGAATATCTACCTTCACTATGACACTTACTAGCAGCTACTCTTCCAGACCTCCCAAGGAAGCACTGCTTGAGTTGCCATACCAGCTATATTCCTGGACAACGGTAAGTAATTTCCAGCACAGTTTACACAGGGACTGTTCTAGGAAAATGTGCATTGCTAACCAAAGGAGACATATTTGCAGTTCTGTTGATCCAGAATGTCCAATTGTTTGTTCTTCCTGGCTTATACAGCTACACTAAAGCTATAAAAACTAGTTAATACAGACTTGGACTCTGATTATAAATTCAGTTCAGGATAAAAGGGCTGAAAGTCCACATTTTGTACTGAAATTTCGTCCAAAGGCATGGCAGTTGTAAGTGGAGAAGGAACTCTTTTTCAGCAGATTCCCACTGACCAGCAAGACAGAAAAAATGCACATAGGACAGTTAAGACAGCAGTATACTCACTCTATCACATCTGCTTCAGGAACTTTGCGCTCCACCTGAAAGGTAACAAGACCTAGTGAATATTAAACGTTTAAGTACCTGGCACGCTCTAGTCAAACAGAGCTAATTGCCATCTCTAGTGACTCTATATAGCTGCATACTGATACATCACTGAGAAAAACATACCTCTAGACAATTGGTGAGCAGTGACAACCCACCCACTCTCTTCATGCCCCAGAAACTCTGAAATGCAGCTACCACTGCAGGTGGTTTTTAACAATCAACTGCCCCCTAAAGGACATTCATTTCTAAATTATTTGGATTATTACAATACTTGCTATTTACCAACTGCAGCAAAAAAAATTCTTATCCTTACATTTAGAAGTAAAAATCTAGAGCAACTATAGAAGGGATGAACAAATCCCAGATGCCAGACAATGAGCAAAACACAAGACAGACCAGACATAGAAGGAGCTGACACTTTAAAATTGTCTGCACAGCTTGAGATAGCTGGTTTTTGTTAAAACAAAAAACCAAAACCCAAACACCACAGTTTAATCCAGCCTGGTCCAGCCTGGATTATCATTCTGGTTGTCTCAGGGATTTATGCTTCTCTTCTCTGAGCTCAGTGGAGTGCTGAGATGCAAGGAGGTACTGAGGAGTTGAGCAAGCAATAGGATCAAAATATAGTACTATATAGATACCAGGGCTCTGCCACAGAGAAAAAAGAATCTTCCCAGACCATCTCCAATCCTTCCAAGCCTTTCAAACACTTCTGGTTTACAAAGAAGTGTTCAAGATTTTTTTTTTCCCAAGCAAGGTACTGCCCTCCCACTGCACAGAGCACAATATCCTTCATCTGCTGACAGGACATAAAGCAAAGTCTATAAAACAAATCCCATGCTCTTCCCTTGTAACAAATAAGACAGACATCCCAACTGAGGGGAAAAAACAGAGCTCAAATCATGTTTAGGACATTGCGTCATTGTGAATATTTAGCAGAACACATTCTTTTGGCTCTCTGAAAAAAGTAGTTACGAACAGGTACATAATGAAAGTCTGACGCTAAACAGAGGGACCATAACTTTCTATTTGCCATATATGCAAGACAGTTGCAAACTCTGCTTGGTAAAAGCCCAAAGTTCAGCTCAGCTGAGTTTTTAATTTGTTTTTAAACATGAGACTATAATCTCAAAGTCTGACAACTTTTGTAATTTGAAGTTTAATAAAAAATGAGATTCTGCGAGTTACCATGTAACTTTTACCTCTGATGGCTCTTCAAAGACAAATTGCTTTTGAGTGTGAGGCTGATCTTTCTTCATCCATGCTGGTCTGGCACCTGCAGGGGCAAGGTTGCTGGGCACAGGTGCCTTAGGTGCTAAAGTAAAGAGAAAAAAAAATGATCACATGAAATAGAATTTCACCATACAAAAAAATACAGTTTGGAAGAACTTATGGAATCATTCTTTGAAGTATTCTCCTCTGCTTGGCAGAGAGTCCAGGGAACAGCCAAACCTACGTTACGTAAGAGTTAAAATGGCACAGAAACTGGATTTTTTTAATATTTACTTGCTATTCGTAGACAAACAAAGACAAAAGCATCCTGTTATCCGAAAGGATAACATCTAGAACCTTTCAATTCTACCACAAATTCTTATCACATGCCAGCAGAAATTCTTCTAAGCAGCTAAACTGCTTCCCTCTGCAATTTTTGTTAGGAAACAAAAAGACATTTCTCTGAGAAAAATACTTTTATTAAATCAAGATTTTGAAACTAGCGAAAAAGTACGGAAGAGCAACTCAGACATACAACTTCATGTGTTTTATCTACATAAGCAAAAAGGCTTAATAATGGACCTGAAACAGAGACAAGTGAAAGTCTTCACTCTGTATAATTCAAAAGATGGGAAAAATAATTTTAAAAAATCCCCTTAGGAATAGGTGGAATGAAATGCACCTGTGACAGAAAACTTACAGAGTACATGCACAAGTCAAAATAGTTGGCTCATTTTTTTCAGGATTAAAAAAAATCAGCTTGCCTAGGACACTCAGTCTGCAGAGAAATGGGAGCTTTACTGGGTATTGCAATCAGGCAAACGGAACATGGTGTTTTGACCACATTCACAAACCAAAGCAGTCTTTCTTGCAAGACTGTAAACCCACACAGCACTCTCCTGCCTCTGCACTCTTTGGTTTAAACGTTTGATACAAAGCAGTGACATTAACTTCAGCCCTTTCAACTAGCGCTCTTTATTTTGCAATGTTTTCACTGCGAAAACAGATAAAAGACGACACGTAACAAGTTTCACAAATAAAAAGCGACTAATAGTTATTACAGAAGTTAGCTCCAAATTCTGTCTCATTCAACTTGCCCAAAGATGAGAGTAGTACGCTTACTTAAGCACGTGTATTAGAAACACAGCTATACACGTATGCTGCTGACCCTGTGTTTTGTGTCCAAAACTGCTACAACGTACCTGTGACATACGTAAAAATTTTACTTAAAAACTGGGTTCCAACACCTCAGCTTTAGTTCCCTAGAAAAACCAGACCAGCACTCAAGGCCTCACGCTCCGTGTCACACAGCATGGTCACAGAAAGCAGCCAGGAGACACGTCCTTATAGTTTCATATTCACTGCAGGTGCGTTCAGACCCGGCCGTACGCCGTTCTGCTCGAGCAACGCAAACTTCCAACCCCACGTCTAGAGGCTTTCAGAGCTTCGCCGACTGCTTTTCGCCTCACCCCACGGTCACGCCTAGGCCAGCGGCTTT